ATACAGGGATAGGATGGTTGCATGAATGTATAATCAAACAAGATAAATTTACCTGATATATCATGATAAGCTTTGTAGCTTTTTCCTTCTAAGTTTTCAAGAATACGAACCAGATCCTAACCAAGAATACATGATAAAATAAATCATTTTGCATTCATTTACGAAAAAAGAGCATCTTGACTCGAAAACAGGCAGTGAGTAACCTGCAAAATATTCAGTTTAACCCTTAGATCTCTAAGAATTAATTGAAAATTCAAATTCTTCCTACACCATCAACTCCCCTGAATCACACATTAAGGTCACAAGAATAAAGGCAATGATCAGCAACTAACAAAGCTCTTGATTGTTAAGCAAATTCTCCTTGTAAGCACCTCAGGATATGTATGAGATCAGTATAGAGAATATACATACTGCTGTTAGGGCTAGATAGAGAATGGTCTATCCAATGAGTCATGGCTCCATAAAATTATCACCTAATTTCATAGATTTTGTTACTTCCTTTTTTTTAGACTTTTTTGCTCCATCTCAAGTTTTCACGTTTCTAACCTCACAACTGATAATTAGATCATAAGTATGCTGTTCAGTCTTTCTTCTGAATGGCTTTTCCCAAGAAATCATTTTATCTCAGATAATAATTATGAGACATTTTGTCAGCCACACTAATTTTTTTCCTATAGAGAATAGATTCTGACATCCCCCAAAAATGATCACTCCCCACTATTCTAATTCTTACCTCCCAGTTCCTTGAGCCTCCAAAACTGGATCCTCTCCCATCATATGAGGCAGATTCTGGTCTTTCCTGTCCATGACTGTTCTGGTTTTGATAACCTCCCCTCCATCCACCCCTAGATCCCCTGCAAATGAAAAAACAAAAACAAAAAAAACAAAAAAAACAAAAAAAAAAACCACAAAAATGCAGTTAAAGTTTAGAAAGTATATCTTACAACAACAAACATATGAAACATATGTATGAACTGTGGTTATGAAACGTATATATGCACGATCCTTCGCAGTAAAGCACTATTTGAGCAATAGTGAAAATCAGACCTGAAAAAAATTTCAGGCCAGTACAGGATTCGAACCACTGACCTCTGCGATACTAGTGCAGCGCTCTACCAATTGAGCTAACAAGCCAACTGGGAGCAGGCCATCAAATTAATTCGACATAAACCCGTAGATGATAAATCAAACAACAACAAACATATGAAACATATGTATGAACTGCGGTTATGAGACGTATATGTGAACGATCCTTCGCAGTAAAGCACTATTTGAGCAATAGTGAAAATCAGACCTGAAAAAAATTTCAGGCCTGTACGGGATTCGAACCACTGACCTCTGCGATACTAGTGCAGCGCTCTACCAATTGAGCTAACAAGCCAACTGGGAGCAGGCCATCAAATTAATTCGACATAAACCCGTAGATGATAAATCAAACAACAACAAACATATGAAACATATGTATGAACTGCGGTTATGA